TAAAGCTTAAGGGAGTTCAGAGGCGAAAGTAGAGGAAGGGCAGGAGGAAGGGAGGGAGCCGAAGAGTCGAGAGGGGAGGAGGGAGAAGTAGTGAAGGAGTAGAAGAGTCGAGTGGAGGAGGAAGTTGCTAAGTCAAACTCAGGGTTAAGTGGGAAGGCACACGTGGATGAAGGGGTGACCAGAGAGGATAAAAAGGAGGGACAAGTGGATGGAATGGACGTAGACCCATAGTTTGACCGGGATTCTCGTGAGGAGCTAGGGAAGAAGGGGAGGGAGGAACCGGTTGTGTCACTCAAGTGAGAAGGAACAAGGATCATTGCTTTAGCAGGATCTCGATAGAGTGTAAAAGGAGAGGAAGGGGCAAAAAGGTCAAAAGCATGAGGGGCTCTGGGGGAATTTCACTCGTGCATTCGAAGACAAGAGAAACCGATCCAGCTCCTCCGCCCAAGAAAAGGAAATCGGCTATCAGTGAGGACTGGATCTGGGTGATAACGAGATACGAAGGGAACGAGAAGATCGGGGTTTGGGAGGGAGGGAAGGCGAAGTTCCTTCAGACAAACACAAATGGGGGAGAAAAGGAAGAGATCGTTGCTTCACTAGGAAGAGAGAAGTCTTTGGCGTGCGACAATCATTCGTCAAAGATAAATGTAACAGAGGTTGCAACCGTTTCAAAAGTAAGGGAGGAAGAAGTTGGGGTGGAGAATTTAGATGAAGGTAGGACGGAAAACGTGGTGGCGGCCATGACCTTGAGCGATAAAGGCTCACCTTTGGCAAGGAAAGAGGTGATTCCAGATAGAATTGAAGTTGGCTTCAGTCAGCAAGAGGCCAGAGAGCTTAACGAGGTAGGTTTAACCCTTGGAACCCAGTCTATTTGTGTTTCTCCCTCTGAAACATCTCCCGTCTCTATTCCACCTTCAATTAGGGGTAGTTCAAGGGCTGAAACCGAAGGGGAAGGGAAGACGGTTTCCGACTCAGGGGGTAAGAAGTCTGGCACAAAAAGAAAAAGAGGGGTGGAAGAGAAAAATAGAGTTTATAATGGGAAGGTGGCAGAAAGACAGATAGAGGTAGGCAAAACCTTGGGTCTGTTCTTCCTGGGAGGAGAAGTGGTGGTGAGAAAGACTATTGATCAGTACAAGAGGTCTAGAAGAGAGGAGCAAGAAAAAAGGGCTAGTTGGGGAATTGCTGAAGGAGGGGAATAGGGGGAAGGGAGATTAGTAGGGCTGCTGGAAGAGGAATAGAAGGGTTGCTAGAGGGGGGGGGGGAGTGGTGGGAGCGAAGCTTTACCTTGGAATATAAGGGGATTGAGAGACGGGAAGAGGAGAGAGGTGGTCAAGAATCTTCTGAGTATTGCTGCAGGGAACAAAACTGGAATCTTTTGTTAAAGTAAGAAGGTGAAGATGTTATGGAGTTGTATCCCATTTGCAATTTGTTGGAACATCTGGAAGGAGAGGAACAGAAGGACTTTCGAAGACAAAGCTTGCAGTATAGAGAAGATGGTTGCGGCTGTGGGCAGAACAGTGACGGAATGGGTGTAGAATCTTCCAAAACTCGGTTAGCTAGAAAAGGAGGATTTTGGAATAGGTTAGGGGAGGTATTGGGTTATCAGATATGTAATGTGGAGCTTGTTATCAATGTTTTAAAATACAGAGGTGTGACGCGACGCATCCCACTACCTAGAGGTGTGAGGCATAGTTTAGAACCTAAGAGGTGTAAGCCTCCTTAAGAGGAGGGGGATGAGGAGGAAGGAGGAAGGAGGATGAGGAAGGGGAACAGGAAGAAGAGGAAGGAGGATCTTATTTTTAATAAAAATCTTTTAGATAAAAAAGAATGAAGATGAAGAACACTCACTAGTTGAAAAGAGGGGGGGCGGGGGGGTCCAGAGCGGAGCTGGTCAATCATTTTCTCTACAGTGCCAAAAGAAGAATGTTCTTCAAAAAAGATAATCATCATCACCTAGCCACTTGTGAGCCTTAGTTGAGTCAAGGCTTCCAATACTAGAAGGTTGATTTACTTCTTCATCACCTTTGAACTGCACATCTTCCCAATCATTGTCTGCATCAGATTCCTCTCTAACTTCTCTGTTAAACTTTGGCTTTGGTCTTTCAGGGGTAGTGGAATTCTCTTCTGTAACTGGTCTCCAAGCTAGCTTACTAGCCATCCAACCAACTGAGCTTTTCTAGGGAATGCCGACATGGCGAGAAGCATTCTCAGTCACCACTACTGCAATCGCTTGGGGATTCTTACTAGTCAAGGGGGATGATGATACAACTGTTTTATTGTCCCCTGGCAACCCTAAAGAGCACGGAACGTGGCTCATTAAGGAAATGACTCAATGAGAGCCTTACATAGGGAGCTTGAGCCTGTACCACTCAAGTTACAGAGTTGGATTGACTTAACCTGCACCACTACCTGCCTCTCTAAACCCAAAATATTTAAATTTGCCACCTATTCAGAAGACTTGTTGGACACGGAAACCTGTTCTGACAAGATCCCTGCATAAGACTTCCTCCTAGCTGTCCGATTTTGAATTAATGAAATCCCCCACATCTCATTAATAGGAGTCTGCCAGTTTCCTTTCCCTATGAGGAACGATTGGGTTTCCTCCTTTGGGGACCTGCTTTCCTTTACCTTTGACCGGCCCTCCACCACCTGGCACCAATCGTTTCTCTCTCTCCACTGCCACATCTCACCCAACCTTTGACATCACCTTCATCTTCTTCCTTCCTTTCCTCTTCTTCCTTTCTTTCCCTGCTCCAGAGAAACACTTCAGCTCCCGATGCTACGCAAACTTTGCTCCATAGACCCTCAGTTAGCAGTTGCAAGGCCCTTGGAACCACTTCCAGCATAACTTCGATGACTCTAATTCTTGTTGCACTCAAATCACTTGTATTGAAAGCCTCTAACAACCCTCCCAGGGCCAAAGCGACTCTCTAAAAGGTAGCTTCCATCCATAGATGAAACAGCAGGCCACATAGTTTGATTGTGTTGGAATTCAGTAGTTTTTTATGTTTTTCTTGTACATAACCAGTAGTTAGTGTCATTGGGCCATTTGTTAGTGTTGTTGGGCCCAAAGCCCACTAGTTTGTGTTGTTTTATGATTAACTTTTTGGGACTGCTTTTAAGTTGTTAGTAGTAGCTGCCCTATTAAGGGCATATTAATCTTTGTAATCAATATTTTTTATAAGTATTTAAGACAATGAGAGGGGCAGCCAGATTATTATTGGCTTCTCCCCATCTCTTCTCTTTCTCTTCTTCTCTTCTCACTAAAAACTCTCTTTCTCCTTTCTCACTAATAAAATCAGATCATTGTTGTTTCTTTTCTACTTGGTATCAGAGCAGTTTTTGGGGATTTTTTGAGTCTTTCATCATGCAGCCCTAGAACAGCTGACTGCATGGTGAGTTAGAGAGGGATCAAAGACTTCAAAAGTACCAAGTTCTTAGATTTTTTGGTGGATCTAGAACCCTTGGTGTCAGATCTTGGGTTGATCATCAAAATTAGGAAGAACTGGAGGAGGAAGAGTCCTGATTGCAGTAGGATTCTTCAATTTTGACCTAGGAAGGGGTGCTTTGGATTTTTTGGATTTCTTGGTGACTTCTGTAAGGGTGGTTCAAATTCTGGAATTTTCTGAGGTCTCTGGAGGGAGCGGCAGCCTTTTCTCTCTCTACCTGCTCCCACTGCCCCTACAGAGAAAGGAATCTTGGTGGGAGAAGATTTCTGGGTACTAGAACGGTGTTTGAGGCCTCTGAAGGGGTTAATTTATTTTTCTTCATCTACAGTTGATTTCCTAAGCTATTCTAGGACTTATGGAGGGAAGTGGAGTTGAATACAAGTCCACAGGTGAAATGGGACTAGGTAGAGTAGGTGCTAGTGACCCTTTTGGGGTAGGAACCATAACTACAGTTAAGTTGGATGGTACAAACTACTTAGAGTGGTCTCAATCAGCAAAATTGGCTATTGGTGCTCAGGGAAAACTAGGGTATGTCACCGGTGAAGAGAAAAAGCCCGAGACTAACTCTTCTTGATGGGTACAGGAGAATTACATGGTGATGATCTGGTTGTGTAATTCTACTTTACCCCATATAAGTAAGAACATTTTATGGGCTAACACAGCTAAGGAGATCTGGGATAGAGTTGTAGAGACTTATTGACAAAGTGAAAATGTTGCTAGGGCCTACAAATCTCAAAATTCTTTCACTAAAATGGAAATGGAGTGTACAATGCCTTCTATAAAAGAAAGTTGTTTCTTACATAACAGGAAAATAAAATTATAAAAATATCAAAAAAATCCCTCACTAATCTTATTTCTTCAAAATTTCCGTTGGAATATTCTTCTAAATTCTTACACCATTGGGCCTAATAGAGTGGGCTTGATAATGGGCCACAGGATAGGAATTTAGATAGGAAAAATGGACTGGGTTCCAAGACATGGACCATAAGAATAGGATTAGGTTGCAGAATAATGCAACAATGGCCTGCTTATGGGCTTTAATAAATTGATATTCAAGGGTTGGGCCCTACATGCATTAGAAGGATCCTATACTATGAGCATGAGGGCCTAAAGGTACGTGAGTGAAGCCTGTGTTGACTTCATCAAGATGGTCTAGGTCAAAAGAATAGACACACACACATCAGATAATCAAAACTACATGATACATTTCTGACAGTCCATTAGAATGCAACAGGGAAAGTATGTTGCAAGCTTCCTGTACCCCTATTGAATGATGAGTTAATAGTTTCTTGTAACCATTTCGTGCCATGTAAAGTGGATGCTCTATTTTCTTTTTTTGATAAATAAAATGAATGATGTATTTTCTGAAAGTTCAACATATTATATCATGTTGTACTCACAGTTCAGAAACATGCCAAATGGATTTCAAGTTTTTGGAAGTGACCTCATAATCATTCCCTTTCAAGTAGGTTGCTTGTACACCACAAGCAGAGAGGATGAATTTTTACATTCTCTCAGCAATTTGTAAAGGATTTTGGGAGACATTCATACCAGGCATTACACGCAAAGCTCTAGCTTCAACTGTCACATAATCTGGATTTGCAACCACCATAGGTATCTTCTTTGCAGCACATCTCTCCAATATTTTCTCAAGATCTTCTAGTTTCATAGGAATTGTAGAGCCTGAAGGAAGGCCAAGGGCTTCAGTTCCATGGGCTAGAACAAAATCTGCATCTTCAACATTCTCTACAACTTTTAAACCTAGGCCCTACAACAAGAAATAGATGTAAAAATGAGAATTAAACCATCTTGCAGCTCCCTTTAAAATGCCTTGCAAAGTTGCATTAAAAAGAATATTCAAAAATACTTGCAATTATAAGCTTGTGATTAGCAATTAGTTTGGAATTTTGTGTCTATAAGTAGATCTTGTCTCACATGATTCTGAAAATTCTTTCCAATAGGCTAGCACAACTAAAGTGAATTATCCCAGCTCATTCAAGAGTTTGGAACACTTGATCCAAACTTCAGCTCAATTTTCAGGGTCACTAGTCAAGCCTAAGCCTCAGGCCAAGCTCTTTTAGCTAAACGAGAATAAGCAGGGCCTGGGTGGGCTAAGGTTGTTTAGAAAGTAATATATTATAGTCATATATTAGATATAAATTTGTGATAGTAGCATGTTCATCTTCAGTACGCAGATCCACTATTTCCTTCTTGGTAATTATCAGCATCCCATTTCATTAAACTAAAATTTGGTGGGTGTTGTTTGGGCAAACCAGGTAGGTAAGGTATAGTTTTAGAAACAGCAAAGGGAACATAATGGATATTTTTCCTATGTCTATGCCATCAGTTACACAAGGGTAGAACTGATGACTTTGTGCAAGGTCTGAGATTGGCCAAAAGTATTATGGAACTGTGGAAAGGGAATCAAGGACAATTATGTGACTGGATTAAAAAAAAAAAAAAGCAGCTATGGTTCTTGGATTCACAAGCACAAAGTGAGAGAAACAACAGTTGGCTAGGGAATTGCAGGCAAGATTCACATGGACCCAAAGATCAGACAACAGTCTAACTAATGCACTTGCTAGGCAGGGTCTATAGAGGAGTGTTGTATTGGGGATTGGGGATCATCTGCGTTGATGGTTATATGTAAGTTGAATGGTTGTAAATGGAGTCAGGTTGCCGGGGCTCCTTATAATTTAAAACTAGAGAATGACACCCCCCCCCGGTACTAAGTACAAGGCCTGTATATATTCTGATATTTTTTTTTATTCATGTGTTCTGATAAATTTTGTTTGACACTCACTTTTCATGTTGTAAATTTAGGCTATTATTTTATTTGATATTTTTATATATAAATTTGTAATTTAATTTAAGATATTAAATCAAGTTTTATTTCTAAATAATAACCCACTCTGTGGATCTTGCATTATTTGAAATGAGTTTTTTTACCCTTTTGAGAATGGAGGTAACTACCATTTGAAGCTCATATTTTATGAGTGGGTAAAACATGTATGAGGAAGGAAGCTCTTGTTTGAAAGTGGGAGTAACCACTTTTGAGATGCTCTATCTTGAGAAAATAAGATGCCACTTGTCTAAGGGAGAAGCTCTCTAGTTTGAGGGCTTTCCTTCAATAAATTGATGGGGTTCTAAGCATACATTATACATTGTACAATAAGAGGTTGTTTTTCATACATCGATAAATATTCTAGACTTCTAGTTACCAATTAAAAAAAAAAGAAATTGTTGGCTCTAGCCGCTTTGTGAGTTTATAAAGTTTGGGCTTGAAAGGACCAAATGCTAAAAGTTGGTTAAACAAGTTGACTTGAGCCAAGTCTAAGTTTAGCAAATGCTAGACAAGCAAACCCTAAGTTCACCACCATAATCTGACTTGGGCTCATAACAAGATTGAGTCCAACTATTAGTTTCTTTTTTTCTTTTTTGATCAGCAACACAAATGATTTTATTAATAAAATTAAGGGGGAAGATTACAACAAGAAGTTGTGTCATTGACAACCCATTACAATACTAAACATCCCCACTCTATTACAATTGAGCCCAAAACATTTGCTGTTTATGAACTCCCTGCTTACCTAAACCATCCGTCAATCCATTAGCTACCTTCTTACCCAACTTGCTATAATATTCATACCTCTTACAGCCTTTTGAATCGCCTGAATTCAGTTTCTGAAGTCGAACTGTTTGAACCTTCCGCATGCATCTCCAATTGGTCTAAAGGTCCCTGTACTCCATACATGCAATGGGATTCCATAAACATCAATCCACACAAAATCCCTCTCCTCTGTCAGTTGCCCAAGTGTCAGATGCCACTTATCCAACCATAATTCCAGAATCCTATTGACACCAGCCTTTTATCTTTCTAATACCTTCTCCATGTCGATCCTCCTCCCGAAACCAAACAGAAAAAAACATGCTTCTAGTTTTCGAACCCCTACAAAACCCCTTCTGCACCATTCCATCGACGCCCAACTCTCCACATCTCCAATGTCTGGATCAGAACCGATGAATCTCCCAACCAAGAAACGATGCAAAAACTCCAATCTTTCATTCAGTTTCCCCACATTTCTTACTGACACTATTCGCATTGCCATTTCTATATCAGACAGGAAGAACGATGGGAGAGAACCCTGGTTAGTTGTAGTAGGATTAGGAGATTTCCCACTACATTGTCAAAAAAAATAAAAAATAAAAAAGCTGCTGTGAGGAGAAGCACCAATTGTACAATTATAAGCATTTATGATTGTCTCACTAACATAGTAAACATCAACATAAAGAAGCAAGAAGATCCAACATCTAGTACAGAAAATTTAGAGTGTCAAATAACTAAAAAACTAGTACAACCATAACCAATAGCGTATATGTTATCTTGTTTTATCTTGTTCCAAGCTTGTAATACCAATAATTTTGAGGTGATAGATTATTGAGCTATTTACATGATTTTCCAAAACAAAAAGATGTAGAGAGAGTAATCTAAGCAAAAACTCAAAGCCTACAAGTACCTCAAGAGATATTGCACCCCTATCACTCCAAGTCATATGAATACAAGACTTTCCCAGTGCTGCAAACCATGCATTGTCTCTCCTATAAAGAAGAAAGCCATAAGACCCATTCAATATGTCAGTATAGCAATCTTCATAAAGAATCAAAATAACCAAGAACCTGCTATAAAGATTTTCTGCAAACTACTTTCAAAAAATAGAGTGGATGCACCAAAATTTCATAAATAAATCCTTGTCTAGGTTTGTCACTACTCCAAAGTTTGGAAGGGGGGTTCTTGGATCCCACTAAAAGGGATAGTTGATTTTGGACTCTTTATTCTTTTGGCTCCTTCACTTGTGCCTCTTTTTTCTCATCCTTAGTACAGCCAGGGGGTAGCCTGGGGATGCCTTTTCCTATAAGGAAGGTTTGGAGCAAGCCTATCCCACCTAGAGTTAGAGCTTTCTGCTGGGAAGCCTTTCTAGAGAGAATTAACACCTACGATTTACTTCAAAGAAAAAGCTCTAATTGGTGTATATCCCCTAGCTGGTGTTCTCTTTGTAAGGCTAAAGGTGAGACTTGCTACCACTTATTAATCTCCTGCCCTTTTATTTCTTCAATTTGGGAATGGTTTCTCTCTTTGTTTGGGTGCAGGTGCAACCCCTCACCAAATATACAAAGCTTGTTTGCCTCTACCTTTGCTAGTTGGCCAAAGAAGAGGAGAAGATCACTATGGAGATGATGCACAAGGGCGGTTGTGTGTTGGACAACTTGGGAAGAAAGGAATCAGAGGAATTTTCTTGAAAAGGAGAGAAGAAGAGATGCCCTAATTGAAGTCATTACAGTCAGGGTGACCCCCTAGGTCAAGTCTCTGGAACTCTTTGAGGGAGGCCATGCAGATCATTTGGTGAGAAATTGGAAGGAAGTAGCCAACTTAGCTCCTACCAAGGTCACCTTAAGATCAATTTGGTCCCCACCTTCATGCAGATTCATAAATCTGAATTTTGATGGGAGTAGTGAAGGAAATCCAAGTCCTTCAGGCATAAGGGGAGTTTTCAAAAATGAGGAAGGAAGAATCATTGCCGTCTACTCGGGTCTGATTGGTGTGGAAGACTCTCTGAGGGCTGAAATAATGGCTGTGTTGGAAGGTCTTCAAAAGGCTAAAGAGCTGAATATTCATAAGCTAGTAATTGAGAGGAACTCAAAGTTAGTTATTGAGTCGCTGCAAAAGGAAGAGGAGGCTGGATGGTGGAGCTATATTAATGAGAAAAGGAATAAATAGCTGTCACAAAGAATGGAAATCAATGTGCAATGGGCGAAAAGGGATGCTAACTCTTTTGCTGATACATTAGCTAAGCGAGGGGTGGTAAAGGGATCACTTGTTTTGGGCTGTCTTGTAATCATATTTCCTATCTAAGGGAGAGTTAAGAGAGTTTACCTCTCCCTCTATCCACTTTGTACATCTTTCTTTAATATTGTAATGAATCAGTTTCTGTTATTCATCAAAAAAAAATCTCAATTTTGGATGACCATGGAACTTATCTTTTGTCAAAACCATGCATACATGTGGTATAGACTTAGAGAACTAGAGAATACCACTAGACAGGTATTACTAAGAGATTTTTACAGATAAATGTTGAGCCAATGAAATGATCAAGAGATCTCACATATTCTGTCCTTCTGGACCATAAGGGGAAAATGTGGGAAATGGTCTTAAACTTGCTATATCTCAGATGTACCATAAGGGAAAAAATATGGAAAATGGTCCTAGAAATTGCTATACTGAGGTAGCCATAACTTGTATGCACCCAATGGGGTTAATTTTGGTTATTACCACTAGATTTAAGCTTCCCAAAGTATCTGACCTCTTTCAGATGCCACACAAGATAAGTAAGACTAATGGAATCCTCAAAAGCACATTTCTGAGATGAATTGTTTCAAAACACAATTAATAGCTATCAAAGGCAATGCCTAGGCAACAAAACATTTTCTAGGGACACCCTTATATCACATCTTTTGCATATATGTTCAGCATCTTCTTAAGCAAGGAAAAGGGCAAGGCAATCACTATATCACATTGTATACCATGGTGGATTTCATTTGTGTTCTAAAACACAAAACCATATTGTCTGTGAGTGTAGTCAACATGGATCATATCCAATTAGATGACAAAGTAGCACCCAGTTGCCTAGCCTCACCTTGATATTTAGTTGTAAACAAGTATCCATTCCTGTGGAACGGATGTAGTATTTCAGTATTTTTGTCAGCCTTATTTTATCTGGACATGTATAATGGCAGTTAGCTCTTTTTATTCTCATTATTAATTGCCATATAAGTTAATCAAATTTTTCTTGTATTATTGTTAAACTAAATCTGAGATCACATAACACGGAACTAACAGGAAGATTCAAGGTTAGGATAAGTCACCTAGGTGAAAAATTGATAAACAAAAGTCATGATGAAAACAATGTCCAAGTAACTTGTACATTCATGACTTGGATGATTTAACTCAGATTCAATTTTCCCTGAGGAAACCATCCTTTGATTTGTTCTTTATTTTCTTTTCTTTTTGCTATTTTCAAAAGAAAAAAGAACTTTTGCACAAGCTAAAACCAAAAAACAACCAAGCTGTCACTCAACTCAACTAACTTTCATAAATTCAGCTAGTTCTACATTTACTCAGCTGAACCAAATATTAGGACCAGAAAACATTTTTCTGCAATGAATCCATGAAAGGTTTTTGCACAAGTTAATCTATCTATTCCAAATCCTACTTTAATAATGTACAAGGATGGGTAGTGTGACTAGTATAGAAATTCTTGACTCTTCTAATTGTAAAAACTGTTAATTGGACTTTTGAAGTAATCAGGTTTCCTGAGAATTAAGGCTCTTACATCAACCATCTAGCTTTTGGATTACTTAATTTCCCCAGTAGTAAAGCTTTTATATTTTACCTGTCCAGGTATTATTTCAAGGTCATCATCATCTACCTGAAATTTGGCTTTAGGAAAAAAAAAGGGTAGAAATTTCATAACTAAACCAGCATGCCACTCCTAAGAAGGCACAAACAAGTTAGCAATGATAGTACAAGAACATCTAATATTCCCTACCAATAACCAAAACCATGTGACACAAGGATCAATGCTGGAACAAGTCAATCATAACTTTAATCAGACAACTTGAGAAAGACACTACGTGGAGTAAACCATATAGAGAATTATGAACTCATAGAGATCAGGTTGAGCATACCAGTATAAAGTATAGCTTGCATATATTGTACAGTGACTTATGAAGTCATTGGATGCATGTTGCTTAAGCCGGCGTAAAATGTAGAATATATATGCATGTACAGGTATCAAAGTGTACATAAGAACTACTAGAGATGTTAATACTTGAATTATGGAAGATATGGTGTATAACCTTTGCAGGTACTGATGTGTTAGCTCTCCACTAGTGATAGCCCCAAGGAACAAAGAAGAATCAAATCCAAGGCTCTTCAATTTATCTATGGTTGTTGATGCACGTCTTGATGAATTACTAATTATCACCATCTTGGCACCAAGGTTTGCAAGATTTTCTACTGTTACCCACAAAAGAAAAAAAAAAAATAAGTGGCAAAAGCTTACCCAAATGCCAAAGTCAATAAATCATAACATACATGTCGAAATAGCACCCGGATAAGGTTGTTTCCCATCATGAAGGACCCCGAACTGATCTAAGAACCAAGCCTGTAGACATACCACAAAATGATGAGTATCCTTTATGAGAGAGAAAGGGTCAAAGCAGCCAATACTGCAACAAAAAGTTAATATAGCACCACTAGTACGGTTGAATGCCATGTTAAATAGAATTAGGTTCAACCTTGAATTTTGGAGAGATGACAGAGACAACATGTCCTGCTACTCCTGCAAGCTAGGCATATCAAACATTCTGCCACTTCTTTTCTTCTCTTTTTTGTTTTTTATTTGAAAATAAACAGTACCAAGGAGACGATGAATCCAAAACAGAACTTGAAGTTACAGTTCCATAGGTTATGCTATTAGCAGAAAATGTAAAATTCATCACAACACCAAGATTTCGCACTAACCACCTTAGAGCTTTTGGTTTCTTATCCTACCTAACGATGATCTGATATTGATGGCAGTCAATCAAAGCGTACGTACTATTGATGTTATGCACATAGAAATTGTATTATAACACCACATATTATAGAAGTGCTATAAAGCTAAACCATTTTAAATGAGTAAGGAAGCGTTATGTAGGATTTATAGTTGTCTACTGAACTGACTTCATGTCATTGTATCAATATGGTAAGACTCAACCAAGTCAAATGAGTATATGACCTCATAAACTCTGACCTTACTGGAGCGAAATTTACAAAATAAACGACAAATCACAATTTGACCATACAAACATGAACTGTGAATTGCCCAGGAGGAATTACCTCGACGTCATCTGAAACTAGCCAAATCGGCAAGGTTACAAAATGTATCCATTTCAACTTCATTAAAATTCTAGGTGTTTTCAGTAAACAACTTCCTTACCATAAAAAGAAACGAAACTGCCAAAAAGGAAAAACAGAAATGAAAAAAATAGTAATAACAATAATTGAATCTTCTTTATCTTTTCCTGGGTACCTTGAACGCACGAGTTTCTGCAATTCGTTGAATCCCAGTGAAGCTCTTGAACAACTGGACCTCATTAGACGAAATTGAGCATCTAGGCACCATATTTTCCTTGAATGGTGCCCCTTTAAGTGACTTCCTGCAAATGGGTTCAGAGGTTTAAGATTGAAAAACTAAAGCGCTGCTTGATTGTTTGCTTTGTCCGTAGACCGTAGACCACACGTATATGTGCTTGGCCCGTCGTTCTGATTCGTCCGACGTGTAAATCGCGCCGTGTCCACGGGTTGAGCTTCTCACGAGTTATTCAAACTCTGTTTGGCTCGGTTTAAATCGAGCTTCGAGTCATGCTCGAGCCTGATACATAAGCTCTTTTTCTAATCGAGTTGAGCTCAAGCCCACTGAAACTCGGCTTGTGAGGATCACGAGCCTGGTATAATAAATAAATAATTTTTTATAATATATATACATACATACATGCATACATATACATATATATATATACATACATACATATACATATGCATATAAATATATAAATATATAAAAATAAATAATTTTTAATATATATATATATATAATAATTTTATTTTTTATGTATGATAATAAATAAATTTTATAATTCTTATTTTTGTATGTAAAATATAAAAATAATTTTTATATGTATATTTTTATTTTTTATTTTTTATATATAATAATAAATAATTTTTATAATTCTTATTTTGTTGTATGTAAAATAAAAAAAATATATTTTTATATGTATAATTTTTAATTTTTAGAAAAAAATTAGCTTGCAGTCAAGCTTGAGCCGAGCCGAGCTCGAACTTGCAACCTTTGAACCGAGTCGAGCTTGAGCTCAAGTCTCTATCTCGAATCGAGCTTGATCTCAATCTTGAGCTTGAGCCTAAGACTATTTAAGCAAGTCGAGCTCGAATAGCCAAGTATTCAGCTCGACTCGACTCGAATCCACCCCTAACTGTATGAATCGTGCTAGGCCTGTGGTTTCAGGTAGGTAGGTCGGCATGGCTCGACTTGTAGGCCCGCCCGAAGAACTAGCCATTGGAGACACCCCCCCCCCCCCCAAAAGGCTAGTTTCAACTTTTTAGGGATTTTTTTACAAAAATACCCCCTAATAGCTATAACTAGCTATATAAGGGGTATTTATGTATTTTAGCTTTAAGGGGAGATAAAATGACAATAATGCCCCACAAAAACTATATAACAACTAGTTTAGGAGCATTTAGGTAAAGTAATAAATGACTTTATAATGACCAAAATACCCCTCCCAACAACTAAAAAATAACTAGTTTTTAGGGTATTTTATAGAATTAAATTATTTTTTATTCCTATAAATAGTCTTATCCTCCACTATTCTCATCACACCAATTCTCATACTCTCTTTTATTCCTATAAATAGCCTTGTCCTCCACTATTCTCATCACACCAATTGTCACTCTCTCTTATACTCTCTCAAATCTGAATCTCTTCTCATACATCATACTCATACTCTCTTTACTCTCCAATTCTCAACTTGATTCAAATTTCAACAAGAAGAAAGTTTGTTCAGGTATCTCAAGTTAGCAATTTGGAAGACTTGGAGGCTTCAACTGTTGAAATCAAGTTGAAATTTTGAATCGATAATTCGAGTAAGTGCAATTAAATTAATTTTATTTTTTATAATTAAAAAAAATTGGGTGGTTCCTCCTCTCGCTCTCAACACCAAATCCACAATGTGGTTGATGTCGACAATGTGAAAGTTCAATCACAATATGATAGTGTAAACGTCGATATGGATACTATTGATATTATCGGCATTCCCACCCCTAGTACTACTACTAGAGGTAAGGGAAAGAAAAAGGAAAACACTAGGTTGATTAGCCCAGTGTGGACAATTTTTAAAATAGAGGAGTTTAAGGGAAAAAGGAAAGAGAGTTGTTTGTCAAAAATGTAGGAGTGACTTCAGCTATAGTACTAGCCACTTGGGCAAACATTAAAATGCCATTTGATGAAATAAGAAGAAAAAGGAAAAGAAATATCACAAGCACAAATAGGAAGTGAGATTTTTGATACTTTTAAATATTCCCAAGAAAAAAAGAGGCAATAATTAGCAAAATATATTGTGCATGCTTAACATCCATTTTTATTAGTTGAAGATACTAAACTTGAAAATTTTTACGAAATTTGTAAATCCACAATTTAAACAAGTTTCTAGAAGTGCTATTAGAATATATGCTTTAAAATTTTTTTATTCATATAAACAAATTTTAATTTCTACGTCAATCTGAATTCTAACATTGCAATTACTTCTAATATTTGGACATTTAGATTTAAGTTATATTTGTGTTACTAGTCATTTTATTGATGAAAAATGACTTTTACATAAAAGAATTTTAAGTTTTACTAGGCTTGAATATTCACATACTGGCCCAATTATTGCTGCAAGTATTTTAAATACTTTACATATTTATGGAATTGAAAACAAACTTTTTTCTATTAGTTTTGATAATGCTAGTAATAATGATTTAGTAATAAATATTTTAAAATCTAAATTAAAACCATGTTTAAATGGTAAATTATTTCATATTAGATGTGCATGTCACATCTTAATTTTTGTATTCAAGATGCTTTGAATATTATTTCTCATAGATGGAATTCTACATATTCTATATTCTATATTAGAAAGTTGTATTGCTTATAAACAAATTCTTAATGATTTTTATAATGCAAAAATGCCACATGATCCTATACTTATTTTTTATGATGTAACTAATGAATTTTCAGGTGTTTATTATTCAACTAGTTGTCTTTTAGTTAATCAATTATTTATAATTAGTGAATATTTGCAAAATATAGAAAAAATCCACAATTTCAAAGTATTATTAGAATAATGAAAAATAAATTTAAAAAATATTGGGAGAAAATTTCTCCCTTTTATTGCTTAGCTGTAATATTAGATCCTAGGATTAGGAAAGCTGGTTTAGAAATTTTACTTGAATCATATTATGAAAATATGAATATTAAAATTAGAAATAAAATAGAATAAGTTAATAGTTTATTATTTGAAACATATAGTTTATATGAATCTCAAGTGGTAGGGCATAGGAAATCTTGTATAGGTGCAAGTTCCACTTATGAAACAACTAGTTCCAGTAGTGAAAAAGCCAAAATTCAGTATCTAATACATAAGAGGCAAAAATCTACTAGTAGTTCATCAGCAAGTTCATTTACTAAACTTAATTTTTATTTACAGGCAAGTGTTTATACTTCAACTGATTCCTACAATGAGGGATAGGATAATTTTGATATTTTAGCCTGGTTGAGAGGACATGAAAAAAACTATTCAGTCCTTGCCGCCATGGCACGTGATCTACTAACATCTCCGGTGTTTATCCATCGGAGTCTTATTTTAATGTAGGTACTAGGGTGCTGGACGACAAGAGAAACTATGTGAATGATGAAGGTTTGGAGATGTGCACCTGCCTTAAAGATTGGTTGGATGTTGAGGATACATTACAAGACAAAGGAGGGCATGACATTACACCTGATGTTTCACCTGAAGCAGATGATGAGAATCAAGGAAATGATTAAATGAAGAGGCAAGTGCAGGTAGAACTTGAAGAAAAATGATGAAGCCAGTAATTTTTTTTTCCGTGTACTCAATATTTTATTATTTCAATTGTTGTAATTTTTTCAATTTTTTAAATTATTGTAATTTTTCAATTTTATTTAAATTAGTTGTTATTTTTTCAATAATGTAATTTTTATTTTCAATTTATAATTGTTTTATATTTTTTATATTTTATTCCAATTTCTATATTTCATTCATCCATTGTCCATTGACCATTGTATTGTTCAAATTCAAGAAATAAAATTCCTATTTTTTAATTTATTGTCCATTTTGTATTTTGTTAAGTACTTAAGTATTTTTTTAATTTCTTTGTTAGATTTTCTATTTTTTCAATTTGTTCTCAAAGCTCAAAGGAATTATTGAAATGAGGACAATGAAGTATTAAGTAGCAAAAAAAATCAAAATGTCAAAAAAACAAAAGTTTGGCCTAGTTCGACCTAGGCCCAAGGCCTGGCCCGTAGCCTAGCCTGACACGGGCTAGGCCCACGACACGGCCCACAACCCACACAACCCGGCCCAGCATGGGCCTGCACGGGCTCGAACTTGAACCCTTCTTAAAGCCAACATCTCCATTGATTCTCCCAATGAAAAACAAAAAGAAAAAAAATAATTTTTCTAATGCTTATATCAGGAAAAACCTAATACAATTTGTTTAAAAAGGAAAAACAAAATTAATTACATATTATGTGCTACATAGGAAACCAGCCTATGTGCTTTCATCTTCGATGAAACAAAGAATATGATCATCACCACACTCCAGCCATTCAAACATTGAATCCAACATGAAATATCATCAAATTATAGTAGAAATAAAAATTATTTAGATCATATGCCCCAAGATATGAGAATCGAATTCCCAAAGAAAGTAGAAAACCACTCAAATTGGTTAGGCATGTTCTAGGCAATTTATTCCAAGAATCAAATTGATCAATTCTAATCCTAGATCAGAACCATATGCTTTAATGCCACTATTATATGGATTGATTGAAGCCTAAAAGGGTCAAACCTTGCTAGGTTTTCAATTGAAAAAATTAAATCATTTATCAGCCCAAGGATAGAGAATTCAAAATTCTCATGGAGAAACAGTTTTATCCTTGGATCAATCTAGGGTTAGATGATCAAATTTGATGTCTAAATCAAAGTTAGAACCATCCTGCTATAGATATTATAATTGCAACTCCCAAAGTAGTGGTTCACGCCCAAAATTCATGTCCAAATCAAGTCCAAAAACTCAAAATGGTGCAACCTAAAACTAAGAACTTGATCTAGTGTGTTTATGTGAATTGATGTATACTCCAATGACCTTCTTTGAATGCAACTATTAATGACTTGAATGTACTATGTTTTGGCTGGAAAAACTCAAGGAGAGAGAAAAAAAACTCTCCTTTCAACCTCGGTCAAACTAGGGTTTGGTAGATGTAGAATAGATAATTTCTAGCAAGACTTTCTTCAACTCTAATATATATAGAGCTGGAAAGTTGTAGTCCTACTAGGAGTTTCCAAATCAGATTTTTAACTTGATTAGAAGTTTTATAACTTGGGAACCTTTATAATTATATTAGAAATAAACACAACCAAAGCCCATTCCAAGTTTGACTCAGATTATCCAATTATCCAATTCTTGCTCAA